CGTTGGCATTCTCTCCCAAACGACCGATTTCAGGCTTTTGAGGTGCCCGCAGGGTGCATCCACTCCTCGGTGCCCAGCCTGGTTCTGGTCGAGGGGGAGGGAGTATGTGTGCGCATGCATCCACCTTGGCCACAGTTTGCCTCTCCATCTCGCCGGCCTGACAGGCCTGAAAAGAGCTTCTGTTTTGGGGCCAACCGCATCCCACATTAATCAGAGCCACGGGGAGGGGGGAAGGATATACAAATGTTCCTGTCGACAGCAGCTACACCCCCCCACCCCTTCCCCCTTCCTCACTCCCTTGCTTCTCTCCTCCCCCCTCCCGAGGGTCCATCTGCAAGCCAGCTCCTCTGTCGGCGCCGACACTTGTGTACCCGGGCCGCTCAGACAGACACCTTGGCAGCCGTGGGCCGCTCCCCCGAGCCGAGGCACAGCTCGCTTTGTGTAATAAAGCCTCCCTCCCCAGCTGCCTGATGTACGACTGGTGTCCATTACATCACCTGTTGCCGGGTGGAGCAGGGGAGTGCTGCTGAGAGGCCCAGTTGATATTGATCAGCCGTGGTGTATAGCCCCACCCCCTGTATAGCCCCAGCCCCTGCCCCAGCCCCCGCCTCAGCTCCTTCCTCGTCCCCTGCCTCAGCCTGACCTCCTGCCCAGCCTCTGCATCAGCCCCTGACTCACCCCCTGCCTCACCCCCTGCCTCAGCCTCACCCTCTGCTCCAGCCCCTGCCTCAGTCTCAGCCCCTGTCTCACCCCCTGCCTCAGCCCCTGCCTCAGCCTCACCCCCTGCACCATTCTCTGCCTCAGTCTCAGCCCCTGTCTCACCCCCTGCCTCAGCCTCACCCCCTGCACCATTCTCTGCCTCAGTCTCAGCCCCTGTCTCACCCCCTGCCTCAGCCCCTGCCTCAGCCTCACCCCCTGCACCATTCTCTGCCTCAGTCTCAGCCCCTGTCTCAGCCCCTGCCTCAGCCCCTGCCTCAGCCCCAGCCCCTGTCTCACCCCCTGCCTCAGCCCCTGCCCTCAGTCTCACCCCCTGCCTCAGTCTCACCCCCTGCCTCAGCCCCAGCCTCAGCCCCAACCCCTGCCCCAGCCTGAGCCTGACAGGCAGCCAAGAGATGGAGCATGACTGTCTCAGTGGGAGAGGCAGTGCAATGAATATGTGCACACTCTGATTTCCCATAGCAGTGATAAACCCTGTACGATAACAACATAGACATGCAATGACTTACAAGGCCCCTTTCCACTGTGGAAGCAACCAATTAAAATGCATTTGATGGCCATGCTAGAGATGTGTTTATTTTCTATTTGTATTATTAATTTGCATACAGGGCCTTAATCCGTGAGTTAATTAATTTACATCCTCAAGGATAGGTCTAGCTTCCCATGTTTTTAATTGTTTATGGAAAAATACAATAATCTATTCAGAAGCAACAACAAAATTGTTTATCCCTTTTCTCCTTGCTGTTTGATAGTGGATTGACCTCATATATATCTCACGATTGCCTGGGAGTCTCTTCCTTCTGTTCAAATGGCAGGAATAGATCACTGACAGAGAGCCAAGCCCACAGTAGACAGAGGTCATTGCCACGGTGAAATTAAACAGGCAAGAGGGGGGCCTCCCTCCCTCCACCGATGCTGTAGCAGAATCAAGCCCAAGTAACAGTCAGTCCAAGAGACTCAGACATAGTGCCTCAACACCCACAGTGATAGCATAGTGCCTCAACCTCGCCTCAACCCCCACAGTGATAGCATAGTACCTTAACCCCCACAGTGATAGCATAGTGCCTTAACTCCCACAGTGATAGCATAGTGCCTCAACTCCCACAGTGATAGCATAGTGCCTTAACTCCCACAGTGATAGCATAGTGCCTCAACCCCCACAGTGATAGCATAGTTACCTCAACCTCCCACAGTGATAGCAGAGTGCCTTAACTCCCACAGTGATAGCATAGTGCCTCAACCCCCACAGTGATAGCATAGTGCCTTAACTCCCACAGTGATAGCATAGTGCCTTAACTCCCACAGTGATAGCATAGTGCCTTAACTCCCACAGTGATAGCATAGTGCCTCAACTCCCACAGTGATAGCATAGTGCCTTAACCCCCACAGTGATAGCATAGTGACTCAACCCCCCACAGTCATAGCATAGTGCCTCAACCCCCACAGTGATAGCATAGTGCCTCAACCTCGCCTCAACCCCCACAGTGATAGCATAGTACCTCTACCTCAACCCCCACAGTGATAGCATAGTACCTCAACCCCCACAGTGATAGCATAGTGCCTTAACTCCCACAGTGATAGCATAGTGCCTTAACTCCCACAGTGATAGCATAGTGCCTTAACCCCCACAGTGATAGCATAGTGACTCAACCCCCCACAGTCATAGCATAGTGCCTCAACCCCCACAGTGATAGCACAGTGCCTCAACCCCCACAGTGATAGCATAGTGCCTCAACCCCCACAGTGATAGCACTGTGCCTCAACCCCCACAGTGATTGCATAGTGCCTTAACTCCCACAGTGATAGCATAGTGCCTTAACTCCCACAGTGATAGCATAGTCCTCAACTCCCACAGTGATAGCATAGTGCCTTAATTCCCACAGTGATAGCATAGTCCTCAACTCCCACAGTGATAGCATAGTGCCTTAATTCCCACAGTGATAGCATAGTGCCTCAACTCCCACAGTGATAGCATAGTGCTAATTCCCACAGTGATAGCATAGTGCCTCAACTCCCACAGTGATAGCATAGTGCCTTAATTCCCACAGTGATAGCATAGTTGCCTCAATCCCACAGTGATAGCATAGTGCTCTTTCAACTTTCCCACAGTGATAGCATAGTGCCTTCAATTCCCAACAGTGATAGCATAGTGCCTCAACTCCCACAGTGATAGCATGTGCCTTAATTCCCACAGTGATAGCATAGTGCCTCAACTCCCACAGTGATAGCATAGTGCCTTAATTCCCACAGTGATAGCATAGTGCCTCAACTCCCACAGTGATAGCATAGTGCCTTAATTCCCACAGTGATAGCATAGTGCCTCAACTCCCACAGTGATAGCATAGTCCTCAACTCCCACAGTGATAGCATAGTGCCTCAACTCCCACAGTGATAGCATAGTGCCTTAATTCCCACAGTGATAGCATAGTCCTCAACTCCCACAGTGATAGCATAGTCCTCAACTCCCACAGTGATAGCATAGTGCCTCAACTCCCACAGTGATAGCATAGTGCCTCAACTCCCACAGTGATAGCATAGTGCCTCAACTCCCACAGTGATAGCATAGTCCTCAACTCCCACAGTGATAGCATAGTCCTCAACTCCCACAGTGATAGCATAGTCCTCAACTCCCACAGTGATAGCATAGTCCTCAACTCCCACAGTGATACAGTTGAAATTAGTGCGCAACTTTCCCTGTCTCAAAAATGTGTATCTTTTAAAAGGGCCTCTGTTTATGCAATTATTAATATATTGATAGCCGAAAGAAAATAGAGAAATCTAACTATTTATCTGGCATCGCTTTCAGGACTCAGTGAGAGTTTGTGACCTTTTTAGTGGGTAGATGATAGCTGTTTCCATAGAGACAGAAATAGAAAACAAAATGTCCTCTTTAGAGACCAAAAAGAGCGGTAAGACTTTCTGCAAGCTGCAGTCTTTGTGAGAGAGAAAACACCTCTATGTAACTCTGTTAGCGTACAGTGATCTTGACCTCAGCCCAGTGACCTTGACCTCAGCCCAGTGACCTTGACCTCAGCCCAGTGACCTTGGGTGGGGATGGGTGGAGTAGGGTTGGGGTGGGGTCGGTGGGATGGGTGGGGCGGGATGGGTGGGTGGGGTGGGGTGGTTTGGGATGGGTGGGGTGGGATGGGATGGGTGGGGTGGGATGGGGTTGTGGTGGGGTGGGATGGGACGGGTGGGATGGGATGGGTGGGGTGGGATGGGATGGGACGGGTGGGATGGGATGGGATGGGTGGGGTGGGATGGGATGGGTGGGGTGGGGTGGGGTGGGGTGGGATGGGGTTGTGTTGGGGTGGGATGGGACGGGTGGGATGGGATGGGATGGGGTGACTGCTAGCTTTTGGGTGGATTTTCCTCTGATCTTCTTCTCTCTCCACTGTAGATGGACACCATGGATGCTATAGGGGAGGACATCAGTGGGATGGCGCGGTGCCCATACGATGCCAAGCACTCCAACATCGCCCTGTTTGCTGGTGAGAGAACATAAATAATTTGTTACTGGAATGTGGATGTGATTTGGGAAAATATAGGTTACCCTTTTTAGTCTAAAGAAGTAGCCTAAAGAATCTTGCATTACCACATCAAGTGAAAGGTATGCATTATGTTAAGTGTTTAATGTACAGTGTCTATTTTGTATACAGCAGTACTGTGTGTCTAAGACAATATCCCCCTCGGAGACATTACAGTTAATCTTATCCTATTCAATACTAAGTTAAATTAAACTAGTTGTATGAATGCTATGTCAAGAACATTTTAAATTACACTGTATCTCTCGGTAATCATGCCATTATACAAGGCATATCACTTCAAAGATTAGCCTTTTCCTTTACTCATAGTCATTAAACATTAGCTGGATAGGAAGTCTTTCTCTTTTTGAGTGTAAGGTTGCATTAGGAACACTAGGATGTATTTAATACTATGTGGCCCATTTTAATATCAATATACTAACAGTAGGTCAGGAATAAGGGGCAGTCTGTTACATGCTGTTGAAGAAATTGTTGAACTCGGGGCCAATTTGTTCCGTGTTTCTGGGAGCAATCTGCTGCTTGGCAGATGTAAGTCTGCGGGCAGCTTGGAAACACATGAAGCTATTGTGGTTTTACACCAAAAAAAAACAGGAATATTCTCCTGAATGTGGGGATTAAAAATAAATAAAAAAGACGAAACCCCGAATGAGTCAGCTTTCCGTTCGTGGGTTACAGCTCTTCCAACCGAGGCGCTCATACAGTGATTCTCTCTTATTGATATTCGCTGTGAACTGATTTATGGGATGTGAGTTTTTCTGTGTATAGCCAAGGCAGAGTAAATGCCTTTAGATGACCAGTTAATTTGGAGCAGCGGAATTGGAATGGGATTCTCTACGTAATCAAGAGGGTTCTTTGCTATCCTTTCAATTATGTAGTTAAAGTTTCCAATGCAGCCTTCCAATTGAAGCTGAGGCCAATGCAGCCATCCAATTGAAGCAGAGGGGCTGAGGTCATCCTCGTTGCGGATACTGTTCGCATTGAGGAGCGTGTGTGTGTGTGTGTGTGTGTGTGTGAGAGTGTGTGTGTTAAATGAGGAAGGTTTCTGTGCGTATCCATTCCTCTTGTAGTGTTTGTGTACCCGGTCATGGAGATCAGCATCTCTGAGTGTGTTTGTATGTTCTGCCCATGACTGGTACAGTGGCTGACTTCCTGATCCCTCTCTCTCTTCTCTCTCTCCAGATGGAAAGCTCTACTCCGCAACAGTAACAGATTTCCTAGCGATCGATGCAGTCATTTATCGTAGCCTTGGAGACAGCCCGACTTTGCGCACTGTCAAACACGACTCCAAGTGTCTCAAAGGTGAGGAGAGTCATCGGATACAAAGACCTGATGTTTGAAACACTTAGAGATACAGACTCACCACAATGAGTGACGGCTTGGAAAACAAATCAGAGTTGATTTTGTCACTCTCATAACCAGTCCCATAGTAGTTATGTACTAAGTAAATTGGCTGCCTCTAGGAACGACAACATGACCAGGTTGTCAAAGCTGAATGGATAGATCCCTCATCCCCCACATGTAAATAGCCCCCTAATAGAGATGATGGATTGAGCTACTCCCAGTGCCAGGTCTGGGCTGTGCCTCACTCTATACTGTGATTGATACTTTAGGTATTGGATGTAAAATGGGGTTGATCTGTTTAGTGATGATATGTCTGCTTTTTTTTGTTCAGAGCCGTATTTCGTACAGGCAGTTAACTACGGTGACTTCATCTACTTCTTCTATCGGGAAATTGCCATGGAGTACAACACAATGGGAAAGGTAAGCTGATTGGGGCTGAGGGCTACTTCCTCCTGAACAGGAGAGACAGGATGTGCTTGGGGAAGTAAACAGGAAGTGGGTGTATCAAGTATCTGGAAGGGCGGTCAGTGTGACCAAAATGTAAAACCTTTTCGATATAGAAAAACATTTGCAGGATGTAGGCTTAAAAATAGTTGAAAATGCATGTCGGTGCCTCCTGGAAAGTCATTTTGAAGTCTAAATATATCCTCTGACTCGCACTTCGTGTTACTGGTTAACCTGTTGCTTACTCTGGCTGTTTCCTCAAAGGATTTTGAAGTTTTTCTCTGAAATGAGACAGATAGGAACAAGAGGAAAGGAAAATGTGCTGATTCTTCATTCAAGGTTTTAGACCAGAGGGATATAAAAGATGTTTTGATTAATCCTTTCATTTCAGTTTGCATGGAGAAGGTTTAATTGGATACCTACAAGGAAAATACGATATGGAAATGAATTACATAAACATTATATTATTTTGAATAAACCCAATTCTGACTGACGTCTTGTACTGCACATGAATACAAAGTTAAATTCTCTGGTTATTTTGAAAGGAACATCACTATATAATGAAGAATGCAGAGGAGTGTGCCGTATGGTTTGGTGGTGTGATGTGGGATAAAGGAATGGTACTCCCTGATTGATTTCTTTGACAATCTGAAACATAATAAGTGCCCACAGTCATTAATAATGTGGGCTGTTGTATATCTATGCATGGTGAATATTTTTGGTCTGCGAGACCTGCTTAGTTACAGAGAAGTAATAATAATAATACGCTTTACCTTCTGTGAGTGTGCTGGTTGGGGCATAAGGAAACCAGCCAGACAACAGGTGTGTGTCTGAAAACACCCACTGAGTGTGTGTGTGTGTGTGTGTACGTGCTATCCAGGTGGTGTTCCCCCGGGTGGCCAGGGTGTGTAAGAACGACAAGGGTGGCTCCCAGAGAGTTCTGGAGAAACAGTGGACCTCCTTCCTGAAGACCCGGCTCAACTGCTCCATCCCGGGAGACTCCCACTTCTATTTCAACATCCTGCAGGCCGTCACCGACGTCATCCACATCAACGGTCGCGACGTCGTCATGGCAACCTTCTCCACACCTCACAACAGGTACGATTGTCCGGCGGCCGCACAGAAGGAAATCAATTTCCTAGGCCACCGCAGCGCATAATTCACTGTCACAATAGTTTTGTGCATAATGTTATTCCTGTATATTGCATATTGAGAATGGAGAATAATTTAGGCAGGGAGTTTTTATCTAAATAGAAATTATAAATGAGCTGTAGTACTGCTACATATTGTAAATCCCATTTTATGGCGTTTCTTAGGCGATAAGACAATTGCTTGTGACAATGCAATTGAGCATGGTTAATGGCCATTAAAAGTCAATGAAGCGGCTTGGAATTCCTATAAGCGAATTTGATCCTGGCATGAATAGCAGTTAGTGAGTGAAATGAGAGGGAACACGTTTTGACTGGAGGTAGCTTTCGGGATTTATTAGCTATTAATTTAACCAAGTGCTTTGGCAGCATGGCGTGCCTCTCGCTCTGAACATAGCCAACGCTGGCTGATTACTGAGATTTACAGCCTGGGCCACAAGGTTAGCAGAATAACAGCTCTGTAACCGTCACAATCCTGTCCTTGTACATGATGTCTCTCAATGCCAAGGCAGCTGAAATGCCCCTCAGAAATGTCCGGGAAATAGACAAGTGATTCAGAGCTATGCTATGCACAGTTTGCACACAGTGGAATCATATCAATTGGACTGAGAAAAGTTCTTTTTTGTGTGGGGTGATGTTTCTACAGCATTCCGGGGTCGGCCGTCTGCGCCTATGACATGGCTGATGTGGCCAATGCGTTCACTGGACGTTTTAAAGAGCAGAAGTCCCCGGATTCCACCTGGACACCTGTTCCTGAGGAGAAGGTTCCAAAACCAAGGTATTCCCATTTCCCCACTCCCACTCCCCGCACTCCCACACACACACATACATGCACACACACCAGCAACACACACACATTCAAAAACACACACTCACCGGCAGCATTAAAGAAGCTCGATATCAGCAAATGAAGCATGAGATCATTTTCCAGATGGCTGCCTACTTCTACAAATGCACCAGCCTGATCAATCTCCATCTCTGCGTTCCTAATTACCCGGCAAAGAGCAGCTCCTTTTCTCTCGTGAAACGTGGGTTTAAAAATCAAGATCTGTGGAGGGGGATGGTACTGTAATTGGTGTCTCTCCCCATATGGCTGGCGATAATGTGGAGCACAACAGGATACCACCCCTGGTGATTAGCATAACATTATGTGTTTGTGTGAAACAAGGTCAGGTGTTAATGAGATCTGAAATCTACGTCTCGTTTATTCAATTTATTTTCTGTCGACGTTATCAGCAGACAAACAGAAGGGAGTTTTCACGATGTTGCCCAGGTTTTTTCCCCCCTCCTCTTCTGCAGCAGCAGCAGACATGCGATGTGTCCTCGTCTCTGTGACTGATCTGTCTCTGTTGCTTTTCATGTACTGTAGACCTTATTACATTCTGCACTGTCTACCATGGAAAAGAGTTGAATCAGGGCCGTTTCAATGCCAGGCCACAGAATCCACCCAAGTTATCCAGGGTACCGCTCTACCGTAATAGTGCAGCAAAACCTTTTTAATAAGGCAATCGAGAGGTGAGATGTCTTTGAACGGATCTCCTATCAGGCAGCTTCACTTTTAGAGGGCCTTCTCCTCTGCTACTCTGTCCTTGTAAAGAGATCAAATGGCTGCTCTCTGACTCCCACTGTTTGATTCCCTGTTACTTTCATCCACTTCAGGCCCGGGTGTTGTGCTGGCACTCCGTCCTTAGAGAAGTACAAGGTGTCCAACGAGTTCCCTGACGACACCCTGAACTTCATCAAGCAGCACCCTCTCATGGATGAAGCTGTGCCCTCTATCACTAACAGGCCCTGGTTTCTCAAAACCATGGTGCGGTGAGTATAGCCTCACTAGCTAGGATGTTACGCTAGTTAGCGCGCTAGCTAGGATGCTACGCTAGTTAGCGCGCTAGCTAGGTCTGCTAGCTAGGTCTGAGTTGTGGGTGGTGTTCATCAAGGTTATACATGTATCATGCATTACTTGTGATTACCAGTGGCATCATTATATAAATAAATCTTAGTTATATTTTTTATTTAAATGGCATGGCACATAGCAAAGCGTTACGTTACATGTTGGTAGTTAAAAGGGTTATATACATCGAAAGCAGGTACTTTTATAAGGGCATATGGTGGAAGGGGTTTTATTATCTATGTCACAGCCTCTGTGTGTAGTATGATTCTGACACAGGAAGTCAGCCGCAAACTCAATCTGTAATAGGACCTTATCTCATCTCTACCCCAAAGGGACATTATAGAATTTGAGCTTTTGTTACAAATTGGACTATCAAAATCCTATCAACTATGAAAACCTATTCCATTATATGTTCTAGCGGCTAGCCAGGCACAATCTGTAGGGAGGGAGACTGGACTCAAGGAGACCCCTCTTGAGATTTCCTGTTATTCTTAATGGGACAAAACCATGGACATTGTCCTTGAGGTTGTTGTTATTCTTAATGGGACAGAATCATTGACATACTGTAATACTTGAGATTGCTGTTATTGTTGATGGTACAAAACCAGACGTTCAATGTCATTTCAAACCAGACAGTCTGAATGGGAGCGAAGAAGGCCTTATCTTATTGATTTGATTGTGATGTGAGCATTTACTCAGATAATGTAAATGATTAAGTCAGTGCTTTCATTCCAGCGTAGGCATGCATGTTTTATATCTCATGACCTTGTGTGAAGAGATCTAGTCTTTCAATGGCAGTAATATATTTGTCTTTAATCCTTTCCATCTCACTGAATTAATAGACATGCAAATGTATTTGCATACCGATCTGCAGATTATACATTGTTTTGATAACAGTAGGAGCTCCATGGTCCAAATCTAATTGGAGATACTACTAGATAACACACAGTGGAGTTCAGCCTTAAAATCAAGAGATGAGGTATAAATCCATAAACGTGTTCTTCACGGTATTCCATATCTGTTCTAGATACCGGCTAACCCGGATCGCCGTGGACAATGCAGCGGGACCCTATCGGAATCACACCGTCGTTTTCCTGGGATCGGAGAAGGGGATCATTCTTAAATTCCTGGCCAAGATGAACAGCGGTTTCCTGAACGACAGTCTCTTCCTTGAGGAGCTCAACGTGTATAACCCAGAGAAGTGTGTATTCCATTAGCTAGCCACGCTACCTACCTCACCACTACCCCAGGACTATCCCAGCACCACTACCCCAGCACCACTACCCCAGCACCGCTAACCCAGCACCGCTAACCCAGCCCACCAGATGGCTACTCTATCATTTAAAGAGTTTCATCAAGTTACACTCTGCACTGACCACAGCTACTAAATTAAAGAGGCCGGTCCTGGATCTTCAGTAACGGGCTCAGACCACACAGCTCTACTCTTACAAATGCAAGATGATTAAAGAAAACAGAGAGAGGCTGTTAGTCTTTCAATCCAGCCTGAGATCTCTTCTTAATACATTATAAAGGGGCTTTTGGAATATCTGGAAAGGAAGTAAATGAGAGGAGAATCTGCATGGGCCTTGCCAAAGCAAATATTTAGATGAGAGGCCTGATGATAGGGTAGAGTCAATGAGAAGGAGATGAGGGGCCTGATGATAGGGTAGAGTCAATGAGAAGGAGATGAGGGGCCTGATGATAGGGTAGAGTCAATGAGAAGGAGATGAGGGGCCTGATGATAGGGTAGAGTCAATGAGAAGGAGATGAGGGGCCTGATGATAGGGTAGAGTCAATGAGAAGGAGGGGCCTGATGATAGGGTAGAGTCAATGAGAAGGAGATGAGAGGCCTGATGATAGGGTAGAGTCAATGAGAAGGAGATGAGGGGCCTGATGATAGGGTAGAGTCAATGAGAAGGAGATGAGGGGCCTGATGATAGGGTAGAGTCAATGAGAAGGAGATGAGGGGCCTGATGATAGGGTAGAGTCAATGAGAAGGAGATGAGGGGCCTGATGATAGGGTAGAGTCAATGAGGAGATGAGGGGCCTGATGATAGGGTAGAGTCAATGAGAAGGAGATGAGGGGCCTGATGATAGGGTAGAGTCAATGAGAAGGAGATGAGGGGCCTGATGATAGGGTAGAGTCAATGAGGAGATGAGGGGCCTGATGATAGGGTAGAGTCAATGAGGAGATGAGGGGCCTGATGATAGGGTAGAGTCAATGAGAAGGAGATGAGGGGCCTGATGATAGGGTAGAGTCAATGAGGAGATGAGGGGCCTGATGATAGGGTAGAGTCAATGAGGAGATGAGGGACCTGATTTGTGTTTGTTATGCAACAACGTACTGTAGCGTCATGTGACATGGGTGGGTGTGGGATGAAGGACGAGACCTTCACCTTCCCCCCTCCCCCCTCTCTTCGTGGCATGGGCAGAGCAGTCTCTGGCCCTCAGCCATCTGGCCTGAGCGGATAGCGTAGGTGACTTTGCTGGGTGGGATCAGGATCTGGGTTTGGCCACCCCGCATTACATAGTGTAGATGGACTGTAAGCCCTAATTGAGGGCTGTAATGCTGGGCTGGAGATAAATCCCTCCTCTGGGGTAGATGGATGCTCTGCACGGTGGGATTAGCGTGGACTCTCTCTTATACCCTGCAGACAAAGATACTATGGTGGGGCTTTGAGCTCCTATCAACAGAGAGAGACTGGGGCTGTTTGAAGTTTTCTGTTAGTGCTGACAACTCCTCCTGTCTGTCTCTCTCTTCCTTCTCTCTCTCTCTCTCTCTCTGCCCTGCCCCTAATCCAGGTGCAGCATCGACGGTGTGGACGACAAGCGGATCGTCAGCATGCAGATGGACAGCCAGGGACACTCTCTGTTTGTGGCCTTTTCCTCCTGTGTAGTCAAGGTGCCGCTCTCTCGCTGCGAGAGACATGGCAAATGCAAGAAGTAGGTTTTTTAAATAAACCCTCCATCCATCCATTCTCTTGGATTCAGGACTTTATTAATGCGTTTGTAATGTCCTAACTAATCAGTCTTCAGGAAAATAAAACGCTATGAAGATACATGTTGTGATGAGAGCGCTGTGTGCGTTTCCTTCAGATCATGCATTGCCTCCAGGGATCCCTACTGCGGCTGGGTGTCCGAGGGAGCATGCAGACAGGTGGTGCTCGACCCAAAGTACGTTACTGTTCACTCCACTATCATACTATCTATTTCATGTACAGTAATCATAATATAATTTGTGCTGTGTGATGACTGGTTTCCTCAATGACTTCAATCGATCTACTGTTTCTATGATTAGTCACATTTTTGTGGTGCTCTGTAGTTTTTTTTCCAACTGAAAGGACTATTGGAAAGGAAGATGGAAGGAAAGTGATATTTGCCCTGGGGCTGGGGCTTGGGAGGAGGGGGACTTGGCGGTCACCATCATTTGTGGCTATATTTATGACGCAGAACTAGATGTGTTTTGAAAAAACAGCATATGGAGTTTCTGTGGGTGAAACCCATTTTACAGATGAAGTCATAATGAAAGGGACAGCTTTTTATGTTAAATTAATTTGATCCCAGCCAAATGATTGGTCCGCATGCTACAGTACTATATCCTATTATTATTTCTAAAGCCCAGGCCTCTCGACTGTTCTGATTGAGTTTCCACTTTGGAAATTGAGTAGACAGAGGCCTTAGGAGGTTAGATGACCTCACTTTTACTGTACAATATTTCTAAGTGAGTGGGGATTAGAGCGCAATGATCTGTAGGTTCTGTGGCGAGCTATTGAAAGCATTTGGCCGGACGTGTCCCAGTGTTTAAAGGCCCAATGCAGCCATTTTTATCTCAATATCAAATCATTTCTAACAATTAAATACCTAGCAAAGAGCAATTTCTCAAGCAAGAATTGCTTGAGAAATTGAGTGGGGAGGGGAAAACAGGCCCTAGAGTCTCTCTCTCTCTCTCTCTCTCTCTCTCTCTCTCTCTCTCTCTCTCTCTCTCTCTCTCTCTCTCTCTCTCTCTCTCTCTCTCTCTCTCTCTCTCTCTCTCTCTCTCTCTCGCTCTCTCTCTCTCTCTCGCTCGCTCGCTCTCTCTCTCTTCCTCCCCCCACCCCCCTCTGATCAACTTGCATATGATGTGGGTCTGCTGTTCACCACTCCTCCCCATGCCTGTTCTATAGTATTCTACCATTTTACCTCTTGCACCCCCCTCCAAGGCTAGAGAAGTCGACATCAGATTTTTAAAAAAAACGACATAGCATGTGTGTTTCCTCTTACTGCATTTTCAGCAAAAATTATTTGATCAAGAATCTACTTCTGATTTGAAGCCTGGTAGACCAGTCTGTGTAGAGCATGATCCACGCTCTGATTGTAAGCAGTGGTCCATGCAGTAGAGGCTGTCATCGTTGACTGTAATCTCTCTGACAGTTGGCCGCTCTGTTTCACTGCATGGCTGGTGATCCTTCAGGAAAGACGGGTCTGAGCTGAGCGTAGGCGGCTGGGAGAAAATAGTGTCCACCTTCCCTCTGCTTCATTGGCCTGGCCCCTGGCCCCTGGCCCTGATGCGTGTGATTGGACCGTAGACCCATATCGATAGTCCTGGTCCTGTGGTGCCTGATCTGTCCAGGCCTGTGCTCATCCTGTTTCAGTCCTGATCTGTCCAGGCCTGTGCTCATCCTGTGTGAGTCCTGATCTGTCCAGGCCTGTGCAGATCCTGTGTGAGTCCTGATCTGTCCAGGCCTGTGCTGATCCTGTGTGAGTCCTGATCTGTCCAGGCCTGTGCTGATCCTGTGTGAGTCCTGATCTGTCCAGGCCTGTGCTGATCCTGTGTGAGTCCTGATCTGTCCAGGCCTGTGCTCATCCTGTGTGAGTCCTGATCTGTCCAGGCCTGAGTGAGTCCTGTGTGAGTCCAGACGTTCACTATGATGTCTCTGTTCATTATGCAGATCGACCTTCGAGCAGGACGTGGAGCATGGCAACACAGATGGACTGGGAGACTGCCAAAGTAAGCAGGCCTCTTCCCTCTGTTGATCTGGGCTCAATGTGCCTCTGTCCTGCAGGACAGGGACGTGTCTCTCACCCCACCATACACAACAGCACACACAAACATCGTACACACACACACACACACACACACACAGCCCCATACTCCCCAAAGCGGAGTACACAACCACTCTGTATAGACTAGAGTACATAGCTCTGTGTTGCTTTCTGGTTAATACCGATTAGGGGAATACCAACGAATCAGAAGAAAATGAAGACTGTTCACATTCCTTTAGAGAAGCACCAACAAACCACAATAGATGAGAATGTCGATAAGTATTGAACAGGCAGTCGATTCTCAATTACTTTAGGCCTTTTCACATTGCCTTGTTCTTAGCTTCGGACTACCTTAGCTCCAAGCTAGACTGGCCCTGGGATAGCTTACACTCTTAGAAAAAAGGGTTCCAAAACGGTTATTTGGCTGTGTAGAACCCTCTGTGGAAAGGTTTTTACATGGAACCCAAAAGGGTTCTACCTGGAACCAAAAAGGGTTCTTTCAAAGGGTTCTCCTATGGGGACAGCCGAAGAACCCTTTTAGGTTCTAAATAGCATCTTTCTTTCTCAGAGTGTAGCCTGTGTTCACACAAGCATTTGTTAACCCTGGGCTAAGGATTCACAATTGGACAAACACAACATGCGACCAACATTCTATCTCTGACTCGTGTCCAATGTTATAAACAATAAGACATTTATTAACACGTTATTTCCTCTTGCTTCTAGCCTTTTATGTCCAACAGTGATGGTTTGTATAAACCTTGCTGTCTGCCTGTCTGACCTCGGAAACAATGTTTCACTTTTGTACAGAGAATGCTGTGCATGAACGAGACATCAACTTTTCTGATCCAGGCGAAATCATTCAACATTATTATTATCATGGATATATCCAATTAAAAGTAAATGGAAAAGCTATGAAAACACAGCCGTGCTAAAAAAGTTGTTTTGTATTAACTTGAGTGTACAATTGCTTTTCTACCATGGGTTACCAATTAAATAAAAAACCAAGCCGGCTGGCCGTTCATTCTATCGGTTGCCAGAGACACGACTCAGTCGTGAAGTCTTTTTGTTCTATATCCCAGTCGTTCGTTCTAAATGTTCCATTGCCATACTGGTTGGCAACGCTCTTATCCCTTGGTTGCTAGCTAGCCAACTAAGGCTAACACAGTCACGACAAACCGTGCAGCTAGAATAACAGCAAAGTAGCTGCATTTGTGTTTGTTATACCTGTTTTTCTATTGACCTTTCTTTGTATATATCCATAGAAATGATGCTTATTCGTGATTTCGACTGGCTGAGAAAAGATGTCCTGACACGTTCATTCTCAATAGGACAGTGGAGATTGAATTTCAATATTGAAACAATATTGCAAATGTTGAGACAGACAGAAACGTTTGTACAAACCCCCGTTGTTGCAAACCAAATGTTAGGCTAGAAGCAAGGGGAAGTAATGTCTAGAACCTTTTTACAGTGGAGATCGAGTTAATGAATTGGCTGGCTGGGGCCTCACGAGTGGCGTAGCAGTCTTAGACTGCATCACAGTGCTTGTGGCATCACTACAGCCCCAGATTTGATCCCGGGTTGTGTCACAGCCAGCCGTGACCGGGAGACCTTGAGGCGACTCACAATTGGCCCAGCGTCGTCCGGGTTAGGGGAGGGTTTGGCCGGACGGGAGTTCTTTGTCCTATCGTGCTCTAGCGACTTCTTGTGGTGGGCCGGGCACCTGCAAGCTGACTTCGGTCCCCAGCTGGATGGTGTTTCCTCCGACACATTGGTGCGGCTTGCTTCCGGAATAAGTGAGCAGTGTGTCAAGAAGTAGTGCGGCTTGGCAGGGTCGTGTTTCGGAAGACACACGGCTCTCGACCTTCGCCTCTCCCAAGTCCGTAGGGGAGTTGCAGCGATGGGACAAGACTGTAACTACCAATTGGATATTTTAAAAAATTGGGGAGAAAAAGGGGTAAAAATATATATATATATATATTGGCTGGCTGGGCTGATGGGACACTGGATGCACAGGGATTTCTCAGATGGAGCAGAAAACAAGATGCCCATTTTTGCATCATAGGCTTACCCAATGGCTTAGAACGCGTCTCAACCAATCACAATGCTTGTTTTGACCAACCCATTGTAGAATATGAATTTACTTATTAAAAATAATTTGCAGAAAGCATTACAGGCATCACAAGCATTTGTAAATTAAATGACAGTGAAGCTTTTGTGATTGGACAGTGAGCATTCTAGGCGTTGTTCTTGACCCGGATTCACACTGGCTATTTTCGGCACCGTGTTTCTGGGGCTAACCCCGAAAAGTTGGTGCTAACCATGCTCCTGAGCAGAGCCAGCTAGCCCTGGGCTAAGGTGAACATTTGCTTAGCCCCGGGCTAAAATCTCCCTCAGCCCTAGGCTAAGGTGCATTGTGAACGCGCCTTTTGAAGAGATGGTTTAGATCATGCCAATGTATTGTGTTGCTTTTGCTCTTTGAAAGAAACAAATTAACACATTTTTCCTTTGATTTTTTAGATGCGTTCGTGGCCCTCAACGGTAAGTACCAAACCTGAGGTAACGAGATGATACCTCCCCTCACACTTGTTTATTTTCAGCTCTTCCATTCAATCAATTCTTTGCTCTCACCATAATAAAAGCCCGCCCACTATTTCACGAGAAGCTAAACAAGCTTTAATTAAAATTATTCCATTTCTTTCTTTAGACGTTCAATCCAGTCCTCACAGTCATGAAAGACCTCGCCATGGTCAGTTTACGTTTGTTTTCCCCCAGTTTGTCATTTATAGTGTCGTTCTCTAGCGTCTAGAACCTTTCCTAACTAGAACCTTTCCTAACTAGAACCTTTCCTAACTAGAACCTTTCCTAATCTACTCCGTAGTGTTCAGAGTCCAGACCTTCGCTCCCCTCCACCCCTCCTCCTGCCCTGTTCAGCTCTGCTGTGAAGGACCTCTAGACTGCGATGCAATAGCATTGATTTGTCCTGACCTTTGCTTCCCTAATTGGATGGATCTTGTTGTTAATAGAAAAGGCCTCCATGGTTCACTGTGGTTCACCAGACTCATCAAGGTGCATGAAAATGATGGAGGTTGTTGACAGAGGCTGAACACAAGCTCACTGCTGTAGAAGCTCAGCAGACTGACAGCACAATTCAATTCCACACTTACATCTATCGAATGTGTTTATGCTTTATTCATGGTGCTGGTTGATTAAACAATTTTTCCTCCAGGCTGTACAAGACCAAGCATTCACACTCCCATATTGAATGACAAGAATAGCAATTTTTTGGGGGTGATAACATTCCAGATATCACCCTGACATCTACTACTGTGTTCCCCCATTTCTTCCTGTCAGATTTCAGGTGAAATACAAAGCCTTTTTGTATTTGAATGCAGCTCTGCAGTAGTGAGTGTTTGTTTCTCCCTGTAGGTCTGGCTGTGTATTTGAGGCAGTCAAACCCAAGCGTTTCAGACACAGACTGTTGATATAGTGCTGAAGACGAAGGCCCTTTCTTTCCCCCCAGACACTGTTAAACTTTTTTTTAAAGGAATCTGCACAAGTTGGAAGTTTAGGATGTTATTTTCCAAGGAGCCAGTGCTTTGCCTCTGTATGTTTGTTGTCTGCCTGAATTGCACTTCCCTTGGCCGCTGAAAATGAATTATAAAATAGTCCTGTCACACTAATCTCTCAGCCCACGGTGCATTGTTAAATAAATCATTTTAATGATTGCCACGCGGAGGCTTGGGGGTTGTTGTGCATGGTAGACCAACGGCAACAATCCCAGCCCCCTACCACCTCCCTTCCTCCCCCTATCCCCACCACCAGCCTTTCTTCGCAACCATCACCCCCTAATGGGAAAGCGTGTTAAAATGGTTTACTGGGAGCTGGCCTGATTAACATATGAGCTGTTGATTACAGTATGGCCGCTCGCCGCCTGAAAGGAGCCTCGAGTTATTGCTCTAAACAGGAGAGACGTGAGGATGGACGCTGATAATGTGATTTATATGGTCTTGATAGAGGAGCCACAAAAAGATACAGGCTGGAGCCACATGAAGGAGAACGAATATGGATATTGATACAACATAGAAAAATAACAGAGTATGGTATGGACTAGTTTTATTTTAGTCCAGCTGTAACTGTGGCCAGCAGTGCAGAGTGTCATTGAGTAGTGTAATCAGAAGGGCAATTTAGGTTATAGGGCATTAATATCTTAATTACCCCTCATGATTAATTTGGTCATGTTGTTGGGCTTTTTCAAAGCACTCTGCTAAATATAGCTGATGGATTGACATTGAAACGTAGTGGGTGGAGGAGAGCAGAGGACGAGAACAGAAGACAGGATTGTTATGGAGGGATGGGGACTTTTTGTTGCTCTTCATATCAAAGGTAAGCCTCCCTGAGGTGATTCTGTGAGAGGCTTTTTAGTCCAAGCCAGCGGCAGCGGGACATGTAAGTGAGAACAGGAGAGGTTCTCCTCTCCTTAGAGACAGACCCTCGCTCTCTCTCTAGAGAGAGAGAGAGAGAGAGGGGAGACGGAGAGAGAAGAGAAGAGAGAGAGAGAAGAGAGAGAGGGGAGAGAGCGAGTGGAGCGAGAGAAGAAGAGAGAGAGGAGAGAAGAGAGAGAGACGAGAGATCGATAGAGTAGAGGGCAAGCGCGAGAGAGAGCAAAGAGAAGCGAGCATGCGCGAGCGCGATCGAGCGATAGAGCGAGTAGCGAGGGATAGAGAGACGAGAGAGAGATCTCGCTCTCTCTCTCTCTCGCGTCTCTCCTCTCTCTATCTCTCTCCTCTCTCTACTCACTCCTCACTCTCTCTCGCTCACTCTCTCACGCTCACAGCTCTCTGGAGATACAGGGCCCAGTAATGAGCTGCCCAGGATCACCTCACCAGGGAAGCAGGAAGGGACACACACACTGCTTTGTAGCTTCGCACAGCCCAACTGCCCCTCGAGAGTGTGTTTGTGTGCATGTGTGTATGTGTGTGTAAGAGAGCGTGTGAGGAGAGTTAACCTGTGTTGTGTCCGGCAGGCCATCCCACCCTCCCATTCCCCACCACGGCCCACCCCCAAGCAGGAGGACCCCTGGGTCGGGGAGGCATGGTGGAACAGGCGGACCCCCCCATGCCCTCAGATAAGAGGGACCCCTATATGGCGGTGCCCTCTCAGACCCAGCAGGACGCCACTGGTAAGCCTTGGAATAGAAGAGTCCATTTCTCCTGTGGCAGGGATGAGATTTACCGTGTCTGCTTCCAGCTGACCAGCCCAGAACTGTAACAGTGTCAGGAGAGAACAAATTGCCTTGCCCCGTAGAGAGATTTATTAAACAAAGACTCTAATGTCCCTGAGGAGATGTAATATACAGACCATTACGCTTAAAAAAAATACAATATTAAGATTGCAATGTATTTATTTTCACAACAAGATAGCCCCAGCTTTATCTTGTGGAGGGACATGATATGGACGGCCCTTTTTGCCGTGTTAACATCCCCAGCTGGCTCAAGGTCACTTTAACCCCAGACACATAAAGACAACAAGAGAAAACACAGCTGTGATTACACTGATCAATGCCCTGTACTGTAATACAGGATAAACCATTACAAGTTCCATTATATCAAATCTAATGTCTCCCTCGTACATTACCTAAGTCATCTTATTAGATGACTGGCTGCCATGAGTAGATATTGATAATCAATAAGGATGATTAGAGGTTACCGGTGGCCTCGTAGACATCCACACGCTCGCACGCACACACTCCCACACACACACTTACACACTCACACACACACCAACGAGGAGTGCAGCTCTGTGTGTGTGTGTGTGTTAGGGTGAGGTCATCATATCTCTCTCTGCGGCGTGGCAGTGTGTGAGGTCTCCTGGGTGGTGCTCTAGGGATGCGTCCCAATTCTCCGCCTTTCCCTTCTCCAGAAGTGAGCACTTCCCGTTGTGGATTTTAAAAGCATCGGATTGGTGAAAACATTGACTGGAAGGAGTTTGTAGCGTTGTTAAATCTATGATAGGAAGTGTCATGTGGAAGAAGGGCGGAGAACGGGGATGCAGTCTAGCTGTCGCTCTCCTCTGGGAGCTGGAACCAGACAACTGTAGCCAGACCAGACAGACACAATGGTGGCAGAGACTACAGCATGCTTAGACAGCATCACCGTGGTGTTGCTACCCTCGTTGCTGTTACCTGGGACCTGACTGGCCCCGTCCATCATGGCAACCATCATGGCAACCCAGTTCACAGCAACAAGGGCTCACATTCAAACTAAGCTTCTCAATGTTTTTCTTTTCAACAACAATTTTGCAGCTTGTCTCAATATTATCAGTTACATTTCAGCTCTAGTTGCTTTTTTTGTTTAAAGTGAGCTCTGATATTGCCTGTTTTGGTTCTGTGAGTGACTGTATTTGCATGGCTTGGTTTTCAACTCTTGCTTGACTATTTATTTTCCTGCTTTGAATGTATTAAGCTCCATTTTGCCTCCATGCAGCTTAAAGCGTCCCTGCATGGCAAATTGAGCACCACTGTCAGCAGTACTCATCTCCTTATGTCCTTATCCTAGAGGTCTTCAGGGGTCCAAAAAGTTGCATAAATCATTTTTTCAAAAAACGGAGACCCGTTACAAATGGACCCGAGGACAGTCAGGCGGTGGAAAACAGACACATACACACCCGTGCTGGTTCGGATCCGAGAGACCCGTTCAGATCCAAGAGAGAGAGAAAGAAATCTCCAACTGGGCACTGCCGGCGCCATCAATAAACAAGCCATATTGGCCAAATGATCCACAGTTACGTACCCTTAAAAACTGCCTATAACAAATGACAAGAAACCTATTCATTGTGTTTCGATGTGTAACATATTCCAAACTTTATAGTCTATTGTTTTATTGGTTTTTACTTGTCCACCTCTCTGTTCAGCTGTCAGACATTTGAGTGATAAATGCATCTGGGCATTGCATGCATATAGACTTATAGGCCTAGGCGTCCACTGTATGATATTAATATTAAAACAATATATATTAAAGGAGACAATATCAAAATTAATTAAAGTCATTGCTTATAGGGAAAATATGAACAGGTTATTATATTGCGGCATTAAATTAAATACGAACAAAGGCGATTGCCTACCGTAGGGCCTACCCAACAAATGACAGCAATAGGCTACCGCTATTTATTTTACAACAGGCCTACTTACAACAGAAGTCTTCCATAAGCACAAAAATCGTATTTCTCTCAAATTGTGTGCACAAATGTGTTTACATCCCTGTTAGTGAACCTTTGCCAAGATAATCCATCCACCTGACAGGTGTGGCATATCAAGAAGCTGATTAAACAGCATGATCATTACACAGGTGCACCTTGTGCTGGGACAATAAAAGGCCACTCTAAAATGTGCAGTTTTGTAACACAACACAATGCCACAAATGTCTCAAGTTTTGAGGGAGCGTGCAATTGGCATGCTGACTGCAGGAATGTCCACCAGAGCTGTTGCCAGAGAATTGAATGTTCATTTCTCTACCATAAGCCACCTCCAACATCATTTTAGAGAATTTGGCAGTACGTCCAACCGGCCTCACAATCGCAGACCACGTGTATGGCTTGCTGATGTCAACGTTGTGAACAGAGTGACCCATGGTGGCGGTGGGCTTATGGTATAGGCAGACATAAGCTAAGGACAACGAACACGATTACATTTTTATCGATGACAATTTGAATGCACAGAAATACCATGATGAGATCCTGAGGCCCATTTCTTTTAAGGTATCTGTGACCAACAGATGCATATCTGTATTCCAGTGGCGGCTGGTGGGAGGAGCTATAGGAGGATGGCGGGAATGGACTAAATGGAATGGTATCAAACATATGGAAACCACAAATTTGACTCTGTTCCATTAATTCCCTTCCAGCCATTACAATGAGCCCGTCCTCCTATAACTCCCCCCACCAGCCTCCACTGCTGTATTCCCAGTCATGTGATATCCATAGATTAGGGCCTAATTAATTTATTTAAATTGCCTGATTTCCTCATATGAACTGTAACTCAGTAAAATCTTTGAAATTGTTGCATGTTGCGTTTATATTTTTGTTCAGTATAAATATGGAGCACAACATTAAAGACAGTTAGAACTTAATTTAGCCAACGAAAATGACTCTACAAAATGAAACAAAACACTTTTTGCATAGGCTATTTAAAGAACTGGTTTAGATGATTAAATAAGCCTATAATAATAATAATCATCATCATCATAATTTACAATAATAATAATGACTAAACAATTGATAATAAATTGATAATTGCATCAAACCTCAATAGCGAGTTGCACACAGTCCATTTGGCCGCGCCAATGTTCTTCTCATCTTTGTCCACTACAATATTAAAACTTGTCCCCGAGGACATTCCCCTTGTCGTCCCCGAGGACATTCCCCTTGTCGTCCCCGAGGACATTCCCCTTGTCGTCCCCGAGGACATTCCCCTTGTCGGCTTCTTTTCACTACACTCTTTCTCCTCTAACTTTAGTTTTACTTCAATGAAAAAGGACTCCATCTTCACAATCAACAGTAGCCTAGGCCAAGGCTCCAGTTTCAGCTGGATATAAGCTATACGTTTTATTGAGTTGCAATGGGCTGACACAGATAACAAGCTCGCACAGTTCTCGTTACACAAACACTAACTTAACAGAGCACAGGTCCAATCGGGTCCAGTCGGTAAATATATTTTTATTGCACGTACCCGAGACCCGTGGCAATTATATCAGACCGGTCCCAGATCTGTGACAAAAGTCAGAATTTAGGACCAGGACCCGCTCGTGCCCCAGGTCGGATCTGGGAATTGAGTGTCTGTTGAAACCGTGAAGACCTCTACCTTATCCCTCTTTCCCCTGTGGGTGCACTTCTCTACTCATTCCTAGCTTCAGGTGCAGAATGTACTGTGAGAACACAACGGGAGAGCTGAGTGCCAATCTAACACATTAAGGCTATTGGTCCTGACAGCCTCTGTCTCTTAGCAGAACCATAGACATCAAACCTCCATCTTAGCCAAATCAACATGACTACTGTACAGTCGTGGTCAAAAGTTTTGAGAATGACACAAGTATTGGTCTTCACAAAGTTTGCTGCTTCAGTGTTTTTAAATACTTTAGGAGACGGTCCTGGTGCTTGCTGGACTTTCTTGGGCACCCTGAAGCCTTCTTCACAACAATTGAACCTCTCTCCTTGAAGTTCTTGATGATCCGATAAATGGTTGATTTAGGTGCAATCTTACTAGCAGCAATATCCTTGCCTGTGAAGCCCTTTTTGTGCAAAGCAATGATGACAGCACGTGTTTCCTTGCAGGTAACCATGGTTAACAGAGGAAGAACAATGATTTCAAGCACCACCATCCTTTTAAAGCTTCCAGTCTGTTATTATAACTCAATCAGCATGACAGAGTGATATCCAGCCTTGTCCTCGTCAACACTCTCACCTGTGTTAACGAGAGAATCACTGTAATGATGTCAGCTGGTCCTTTTGTGGCAGGGCTGAAATGCAGTGGAAATGTTTTTGGGGGATTAAGTTCATTTTCATGGCAAAGAGGGACTTTGCAATTAATTGCAATTCATCTGATCACTCTACAAAACATCCTGGAGTATATGCAAATTGCCATCATAAAAACTGAGGCAGCAGACTTTGTGAAAATTAATATTTGTGTCATTCTCAAAACTTTTGACCACGACTGTACATACAGTACAGGGAAATCTGAATTCATCATCACCAGAAGATGTTTTGAAATAAATGTAGTTGCACTTTAAGCTTTAAATATCGAAGACTTATAACTCCCAGATCATCCCTGATAGCATTTAAAATGACATGAAATTCCAATTTCCTGTTTGCAGCTCACTCATTTTGGGATCCTTATCTGTTAATGAATATCACAGTACAAATATGTATTAGTGCAACACATTGGAATAATTACAATTGTAAAATAATGATTATCCGCACAGTGGATATTTAGTAGCTCCCCATCTACCAGATGAGATCACCACTGTTGCTTGGTGGCCATGGCTGGCTTTCACAGTACATTTGAGCACTGTTGTGTCTGGGCTCATCTATTTGTGTGATATCCCACCTCTCCCCCACGACCCTCCCTCCCTCCCTCCCCCACACCACCGTCTGTTACCATTGTGAACAGTCTCCCTTCCACAGGACCTTTCATCTGTCCAGATGGAATGTTCCAAGGTTGTACCTTATGTAGTGCAAATGAATGACTAACCATATTTATGGAGCATCCTACCCCCTACCAACTGGAGTTATACCTATCTATCTGTCCCCTGCCCTGTCTGAGGGAATGAGTCCCGTGCTCCCCCTCTCTCCCTCCTCCGCCCCCCCACCTGTGGCCATCTCTGTGTGTCTCTTCAATTTATGGGTTCATTACAAAAGCTATCCAGACGGAGGGAGGGAGGGAGACGGAGGGAGGGAGGGAGGGAGGGAGGGAGGGAGGGAGGGAGGGAAGGAAGGAAAGGGAGGCTTTCTCTCCCGTTGCTCTGTGGCCTAGGTCGTCTGTTCCACATAGAGTCACTGTTCTAATCCCTGAACGGTATGTGTCCACAACTAACTCTCACTTTAACTCCCTGGCTCAGGTTTGAATGGCATCTGTGTTTATGAAAATAAATAATCTGGTTCTGTACCATGAAGGGTAGATGTGTATAGGACATATTATGGGAACATATTTTGTTATGCTGGAACACCATTCTCAGTGTGTTTCTTCTAATGGTTCACTATTCATGAAATGTACGTAAATCAACAAATGTGGCTGTTTTTCCCCAGACACTTTTGCTTTTCAATATTGCATGTTTACATGCGTATTATATGTATATTTCATTTAATCATTGTTTCAGACATAGGCCTTTTTTATTCAATTAACAATATTATTCAGTTAACATGGTACCGTAGCTGACATTTTCAGGAATGCACATGGTGGTGAGTTGCACCCTGGTTGTCATAGCAAACACTCTACCTTCTGGTTGTCATATAGCAAACACTCTACCTTCTGGTTGTCATAGCAAACACTCTACCTTCTAGTTGTCATAGCAAACACTACCTTCTGGTTGTCATAGCAAACACTCTACCTTCTAGTTGTCATAGCAAACACTACCTTCTGGTTGTCATAGCAAACACTCTACCTTCAGTGCTGGTATTTTACACTTGGAATAGCCAGACAGCTTACCAGTTGCACCTAGATGGTTATTTTCAGCTTCAGTTGCCTAGCACCTGTGTGCCAATGACAGTGGCATGATAGGAGCACAACCTCAGAGCGGTGCCAATTACTGTGCCAATATGTCATTTCAGTTTGAACACTCACCATTATCAGGCTGGAAAGTCTGCTAGGTGTCTGAATAAAGGGAATAACAGAAATGAGGTCCTCAACGATCTGATTTCCTATACTGTAATGTCTGAGTAACACAATTACTGAGGAAACCTCTGATTATATACCGTGTAATATTTAGGTGAACCGAGAGCTACAGTGACATGTCATCTCCTATTGATTGGAAGTATCTTTAATCTATTTAGACCGTTTAGTAATAATGTTTCCAGAGGTGTGAAAAAATTATCAGACCTGTTACTTTTACTATTACGCACTTCCGCCATTTATATCGAGCTTCAAGCCACGGGCTTCCTTCCTCCCCATTAGCTTGCATTGTGTTAACCCGCTAGGTCGTCTTCTTCCTCTGCCTCAGAAAACACATTCCTCTTTATGTTTTTCAGAGGTGTTCTTACATTTTAAACCCAAGTCGCTCTATTTAATTCATTTACCGTAAAATGCACTGCAATTAAAATGAGTGATTTTTGATTTCCACAGTTTGATCTGAATAGATATCCACATGCTTAGCTTGAGAACAATGTTCTCCATCTTAAATAGGTGGGACTGATAATTGTAAAACAAAACAAAAAAATGTACCTCTGACTCAAACAGAGTCCAACAGAACCATACACTGAGTGTACAAAACCTTAAGAACACCTTCTTAATATTGAGTTGCACCCCCTTTTGCCCTCAGAACAGCCTCAATTCGTCGGGGCATGGACTCTACAAGGTGTCTTAAGCATTCCACAGGGATGCTGGCCCATGTTGACTTCAATGCTTCCCACAGTTGTCTCAAGTTGGCTGGATGTCCTTTGGGTGGTGGGTGGGAAACTGTTGAGCATGAAAAATCCAGCAGCGTTGCAGTTCTTCACACACTCAAACCGGTGCGCCTGGCACCTACTACCATACCCCGTTCAAAGGCACTTAAATATTTTGTCTTGCCCATTCACCCTCTGAATGACACACATACACAATCCATGTCTCAATTGTCTCAATGCTTAAAAATCTTTCTTTAACCTGTCTCCTCTCCTTCATCTACACTGATTTAAGTGGATTTAACAGGTGACATCATTAAGGGATCATAGCTTTCACCTGGATTCACCTGGTCAGTGATGAGAGGTGTTGGGTTTGCGCCAGACATAGCGTTTTCCTTGATGGCCAAAAAGCTCAATTTTAGTCTCATCTGACCAGAGTACCTTCTTCCATATGTTTGGGGAGTCTCCCACATGGCTTTTGGCGAACACCAAACGTGTTTGCTTATTTTTATCTTTAAGGAATGGCTTTTTTCTGGCCACTCTTCCGTAAACCCCAGCTCTGTGGAGTGTACGGCTTAAAGTGGTCCTATGGACAGATACTCCAATCTCCGCTGTGGAGCTTTGCAGCTCCTTCAGGGTTATCTTTGGTCTCTTTGTTGTCTCTCTGATTAATGCCCTCCTTGCCTGGTCCGTGAGTTTTGGTGGGCGGCCCTCTCTTGGCAGGTTTGTTGTGGTGCCATATTCTTTCCATTTTTTAATAATGGATTTAATGGTGCTCCGTGGGATGTTCAAAGTTTCGGATATTTTTTTATAACCCAACCCTGACCTGTACTTCGCCACAACTTTGTCCCTGACCTGTTTGGAGAGCTCCTTGGTCTTCATGGTGCCGCTTGCTTGGTGGTGCCCCTTGCTTAGTGGTGTTGCAGACTCTGGGGCCTTTCAGAACCGGTGTATATACATTGAGATCATGTGACACTTAGATTGCACACAGGTGGACTTTATTTAACTAATAATGTGACTTCTGAAGGTAATTGGTTGCAGCAGATCTTATTTAGGGGTTTCATAGCAAAGGGGGTGAATACATATGCACGCACCACTTTTCCGTTATTTATCTTTTAGAATTTTTTAAAATAAGTTATTTTTTAAATTTCATTTCACCAATTTGGACTATTTTGTGTATGTCCATTACATGAAATCCAAATGAAAATCTATTTAAATTTCAGGTTGTAATGCAACAAAATAGGAAAAACGGAGGGGGGGGGGGGGGGGGGGGGGGGGGGGTGAATACTTATGATACCCACTGTCGCTGTATCTAAATTATAGTCTGCCTCTTCTTCTCAGTTGAAAAGACGACCACTGTCTTTGAACATAGATCGCTTTTCTCTAAGTGATGGTCTACCTCTAAGTGATGGTCTACTTCTAAGTGATGGTCTACCTCTGTGTGATGGTCTACCTCTTAGTGATGGTCTACCTCTAAGTGATGGTCTACCTCTGTGTGATGGTCTACCTCTAAGTGATGGTCTACCTCTGTGTGATGGTCTACCTCTAAGTGATGGTCTACCTCTTAGTGATGGTCTACCTCTTAGTGATGGTCTACCTCTTAGTGATGGTCTACCTCTAAGTGATGGTATACCTCTAAGTGATGGTCTACCTCTTAGTGGATTGGTCTAGACCTCTAAGTGAGGTCTACCTCTAAGTGATGGTCTACCTCTAAGTGCTGGTCTACCCTCTAAGTGATTGGTCTACCTTCTAAGTGATGGGTATACCTTCTAAGTGTGATGGTCTACCTCTTAGTGCTGGTTCCTATAAGTGATGGTCTACTCTGTGTGATGGTCTACCTCTAGTGATGGTCTCAACCTCTGGGTGATGGTCTACCTCTAAGTGATGGTCTACCCTTAGTGATGGTTACCTCTTAGTGATGGTCTACCTCTTAGTGATGGTCTACCTCTAAGTGATGGTAACTCGAAGTGATGGTCACCTCTTAGTGATGGTCCCTCTAAGTGATGGTCACCTCAAGTGATGGTATACCTCTTAGTGATGGTCTACCTCTTCGTGATTTGGTCTACCTCTTAGTGATGGTGGTCTACCTCTAAGTGATGGTCTACCTCTGTGATGGTCTACCTCTAAGTATGGTCTCCTTGTGAGGTCACCTCTAAGGATGTCTCCTTATGATGGTCTACCTCTTGATGGTCACCTTGTGATGGTTACTAAGTGATGGTTCTCTAGTGAGTCACCTTATGATGCTACTCTAGGATGTCACCTTAGTGATGGTCTCCTCTAGTGATGGCACCTTTAGTGTGGTCTATTTATGATGTCTACTCAAGTGTGTCTCCTCTAAGTGTGGTCACCTTTTAGTTAAAGTGAGGTCTACCAGGATGGTTCTCGAGGACTAGGGGTACTAGGATTTCCCCGGTGACAAAGGATGACTTGGAGTACTAGGAGGCCCTAGATGATTAAGTATGTAAGGTTCTCCTAGTGATGCTTTTAGATGTTATTTTTCACTCAATATGCCCTCTTATGACCTTTAAACTCAGGTCTTAGTGTGTCCTAATTCTACTTATGAGTATGAGGAGGATCTATAGTCACCCTATATTTCCCAGTGAGTCCATGTACTTAGTGAGTTCCCTTCGGTGATGCTTTGATCACTTTGATTTGTTATTGTTACCCATCTACCAATCACTGCCCTTCTTTATGAAGCTTTCAAAAAGCTCCCTGGTCTTTGTAGTTGAATCTGTGCTTGAAATTCAACACTTGACTGAGGTATGGTGGACAGAGGAAGGGGTAGTCAATAAAAAATCATGTCAACCCCTATTATTTCACACAGAGTGAGTCCATGTAACTTATTATGTGATTTGTTATGCCAGATTTTACTCTTGAACTAATTTAGGCTAAACAAAGGGGGGTGAATATTATTCAACAACTATATTATAGTTATTACATTTTTATAAATGTGTCAACAATTGTATATATATTTTTTTTAACATTATGGAGTATTTTGTCTAGATCAATGACAAACAATCACAGTTAAATCTATTTCAATCCCACTTTGTAACGCAACGGGGGGGTGAATACTTATGATACCCACTGTCGCTGTATCTAAATTATAGTCTGCCTCTTCTTCTCAGTTGAAAAGACGACCACTGTCTTTGAACATAGATCGCTTTTCTCTAAGTGATGGTCTACCTCTAAGTGATGGTCTACTTCTAAGTGATGGTCTACCTCTGTGTGATGGTCTACCTCTTAGTGATGGTCTACCTCTTAGTGATGGTATACCTCTAAGTGATGGTCTACCTCTGTGTGATGGTCTACCTCTAAGTGATGGTCTACCTCTTAGTGATGGTCTACCTCTAAGTGATAGTCTACCTCTTAGTGATGGTCTACCTCTAAGTGATGGTCTACCTCTTAGTGATGGTCTACCTCTAAGTGATGGTCTACCTCTAAGTGATGGTCTACCTCTGTGTGATGGTCTACCTCTGTGTGATGGTATACCTCTAAGTGATGGTCTACCTCTTAGTGATGGTCTACCTCTAAGTGATGGTCTACCTCTTAGTGATGGTCTACCTCTGAGTGATGGTCTACCTCTAAGTGATGGTCTACCTCTTAGTGATGGTCTACCTCTTAGTGATGGTCTACCTCTAAGTGATGGTCTACCTCTTCCTCCACGTTGAAAAGATGACCACGGTCTTTGAACACAGAGATGGGTTTTCTCCCAGGCACGGTAGCAGGCTGGACAATAGAACGAGTCAAAATTCACCCAAGGCTGAAAAACGGCAATAGAACGTTGGCTAAGCTGGAACACTAGCGCGAGCCCATAGCAAATGAATTGAATGTATTGTTCGCAGGGCCTCTTCTGACTGGAGTGATGCTTTGATCACTTTGATTTGTTATTGTTACCCATCTACCAATCACTGCCCTTCTTCATGAAGCTTTCAAAAAGCTCCCTGGTCTTTGTAGTTGAATCTGTGCTTGAAATTCAATACTTGACTGAGGTATGGTGGACAGAGGAAGGGGTAGTCAATAAAAAATCATGTCAACCCCTATTATTTCACACAGAGTGAGTCCATGTAACTTATTATGTGATTTGTTATGCCAGATTTTACTCTTGAACTAATTTAGGCTAAACAAAGGGGGATGAATATTATTCAACAACTATATTATAGTTATTACATTTTTATAAATGTGTCAACAATTGTATACTTTTTTTTTTAAACATTATGGAGTATTTTGTCTAGATCAATGACAAACAATCACAGTTAAATCTATTTCAATCCCACTTTGTAACGCAACGGGGGGGTGAATACTTATGATACCCACTGTCGCTGTATCTAAATTATAGTCTGCCTCTTCTTCTCAGTTGAAAAGACGACCACTGTCTTTGAACATAGATCGCTTTTCTCTAAGTGATGGTCTACCTCTAAGTGATGGTCTACTTCTAAGTGATGGTCTACCTCTGTGTGATGGTCTACCTCTTAGTGATGGTCTACCTCTTAGTGATGGTCTACCTCTAAGTGATGGTCTACCTCTGTGTGATGGTCTACCTCTAAGTGATGGTCTACCTCTGTGTGATGGTCAACCTCTAAGTGATGGTCTACCTCTAAGTGATGGTCTACCTCTTAGTGATGGTCTACCTCTAAGTGATGGTCTACCTCTAAGTGATGGTCTACCTCTGTGTGATGGTCTACCTCTAAGTGATGGTCTACCTCTTAGTGATGGTCTACCTCTTAGTGATGGTCTACCTCTAAGTGATGGTCTACCTCTTAGTGATGGTCTACCTCTAAGTGATGGTCTACCTCTTAGTGATGGTCTACCTCTAAGTGATGGTCTACCTCTTAGTGATGGTCTACCTCTTAGTGATGGTCTACCTCTAAGTGATGGTCTACCTCTAAGTGATGGTCTACCTCTAAGTGATGGTCTACCTCTAAGTGATGGTCTACCTCTGTGTGATGGTCTACCTCTTAGTGATGGTCTACCTCTAAGTGATGGTCTACCTCTTAGTGATGGTCTACCTCTTAGTGATGGTCTACCTCTGTGTGATGGTCTACCTCTAAGTGATGGTCTACTTCTAAGTGATGGTCTACCTCTGTGTGATGGTCTACCTCTAAGTGATGGTCTACTTCTAAGTGATGGTCTACCTCTGTGTGATGGTCTACCTCTTAGTGATGGTCTACCTCTAAGTGATGGTCTACCTCTAAGTGATGGTCTACCTCTGTGTGATGGTCAACCTCTAAGTGATGGTCTACCTCTGTGTGATGGTCTACCTCTGTGTGATGGTATACCTCTAAGTGATGGTCTACCTCTAAGTGATGGTCTACCTCTAAGTGATGGTCTACCTCTAAGTGATGGTCTACCTCTAAGTGATGGTCTACCTCTGTGTGATGGTCTACCTCTTAGTGATGGTCTACCTCTAAGTGATGGTCTACCTCTTAGTGATGGTCTACCTCTTAGTGATGGTCTACCTCTAAGTGATGGTCTACCTCTAAGTGATGGTCTACCTCTTAGTGATGGTCTACCTCTAAGTTATGGTCTACCTCTTAGTGATGGTCTACCTCTAAGTGATGGTCTACCTCTTAGTGATGGTCTACCTCTAAGTGATGGTCTACCTCTAAGTGATGGTCTACCTCTGTGTGATGGTCTACCTCTAAGTGATGGTCTACCTCTTAGTGATGGTCTACCTCTTAGTGATGGTCTACCTCTAAGTGATGGTCTACCTCTTAGTGATGGTCTACCTCTTAGTGATGGTCTACCTCTTAGTGATGGTCTACCTCTAAGTGATGGTCTACTTCTAAGTGATGGTCTACCTCTGTGTGATGGTCTACCTCTAAGTGATGGTCTACTTCTAAGTGATGGTCTACCTCTGTGTGATGGTCTACATCTTAGTGATGGTCTACCTCTAAGTGATGGTCTACCTCTAAGTGATGGTCTACCTCTGTGTGATGGTCTACCTCTGTGTGATGGTATACCTCTAAGTGATGGTCTACCTCTAAGTGATGGTCTACCTCTAAGTGATGGTCTACCTCTAAGTGATGGTCTACCTCTAAGTGATGGTCTACCTCTGTGTGATGGTCTACCTCTTAGTGATGGTCTACCTCTAAGTGATGGTCTACCTCTTAGTGATGGTCTACCTCTTAGTGATGGTCTACCTCTAAGTGATGGTCTACCTCTAAGTGATGGTCTACCTCTTAGTGATGGTCTACCTCTAAGTTATGGTCTACCTCTTAGTGATGGTCTACCTCTAAGTGATGGTCTACCTCTAAGTGATGGTCTACCTCTGTGTGATGGTCTACCTCTTAGTGATGGTCTACCTCTTAGTGATGGTCTACCTCTAAGTGATGGTCTACCTCTTAGTGATGGTCTACCTCTAAGTGATGGTCTACCTCTTAGTGATGGTCTACCTCTAAGTGATGGTCTACCTCTTAGTGATGGTCTACCTCTAAGTGATGGTCTACCTCTTAGTGATGGTCTACCTCTTAGTGATGGTCTACCTCTAAGTGATGGTCTACCTCTAAGTGATGGTCTACCTCTTAGTGATGGTCTACCTCTAAGTTATGGTCTACCTCTTAGTGATGGTCTACCTCTAAGTGATGGTCTACCTCTAAGTGATGGTCTACCTCTGTGTGATGGTCTACCTCTTAGTGATGGTCTACCTCTTAGTGATGGTCTACCTCTAAGTGATGGTCTACCTCTTAGTGATGGTCTACCTCTAAGTGATGGTCTACCTCTGTGTGATGGTCTACCTCTAAGTTATGGTCTACCTCTTAGTGATGGTCTACCTCTGTGTGATGGTCTACCTCTTAGTGATGGTCTACCTCTAAGTGATGGTCTACCTCTTAGTGATGGTCTACCTCTTAGTGATGGTCTACCTCTAAGTGATGGTCTACCTCTAATTGATGGTCTACCTCTTAGTGATGGTCTACCTCTAAGTTATGGTCTACCTCTTAGTGATGGTCTACCTCTAAGTGATGGTCTACCTCTTAGTGATGGTCTACCTCTAAGTGATGGTCTACCTCTAAGTGATGGTCTACCTCTGTGTGATGGTCTACCTCTAAGTGATGGTCTACCTCTTAGTGATGGTCTACCTCTTAGTGATGGTCTACCTCTAAGTGATGGTCTACCTCTTAGTGATGGTCTACCTCTAAGTGATGGTCTACCTCTTAGTGATGGTCTACCTCTAAGTGATGGTCTACCTCTGTGTGATGGTATACCTCTAAGTGATGGTCTACCTCTAAGTGATGGTCTACCTCTGTGTGATGGTCTACCTCTTAGTGATGGTCTACCTCTAAGTGATGGTCTACCTCTTAGTGATGGTCTACCTCTTAGTGATGGTCTACCTCTGTGTGATGGTCTACCTCTAAGTGATGGTCTACTTCTAAGTGATGGTCTACCTCTGTGTGATGGTCTACCTCTAAGTGATGGTCTACTTCTAAGTGATGGTCTACCTCTGTGTGATGGTCTACCTCTTAGTGATGGTCTACCTCTAAGTGATGGTCTACCTCTAAGTGATGGTCTACCTCTGTGTGATGGTCAACCTCTAAGTGATGGTCTACCTCTGTGTGATGGTCTACCTCTGTGTGATGGTATACCTCTAAGTGATGGTCTACCTCTAAGTGATGGTCTACCTCTAAGTGATGGTCTACCTCTAAGTGATGGTCTACCTCTGTGTGATGGTCTACCTCTTAGTGATGGTCTACCTCTAAGTGATGGTCTACCTCTTAGTGATGGTCTACCTCTTAGTGATGGTCTACCTCTAAGTGATGGTCTACCTCTAAGTGATGGTCTACCTCTTAGTGATGGTCTACCTCTAAGTTATGGTCTACCTCTTAGTGATGGTCTACCTCTAAGTGATGGTCTACCTCTAAGTGATGGTCTACCTCTGTGTGATGGTCTACCTCTTAGTGATGGTCTACCTCTTAGTGATGGTCTACCTCTAAGTGATGGTCTACCTCTTAGTGATGGTCTACCTCTAAGTGATGGTCTACCTCTTAGTGATGGTCTACCTCTAAGTGATGGTCTACCTCTTAGTGATGGTCTACCTCTAAGTGATGGTCTACCTCTGTGTGATGGTCTACCTCTAAGTTATGGTCTACCTCTTAGTGATGGTCTACCTCTGTGTGATGGTCTACCTCTTAGTGATGGTCTACCTCTAAGTGATGGTCTACCTCTAAGTGATGGTCTACCTCTTCCTCCACGTTGAAAAGATGACCACGGTCTTTGAACACAGAGATGGGTTTTCTCCCAGGCACGGTAGCAGGCTGGACAATAGAACGAGTCAAAATTCACCCAAGGCTGAAAAACGGCAATAGAACGTTGGCTAAGCTGGAACACTAGCGCGAGCCCATAGCAAATGAATTGAATGTATTGTTCGCAGGGCCTCTTCTGACTAGAGTGATGCTTAGAATTCAATTTTGCCTAAATGGCACCAAAAAAATGTATCCCTTTTTATTTTACCACTACAATCTGTTCTTAAGACGAAACTGGAAAAAAACAACTCATGTAGAAAGTAAACATCCGCACTTCGATGGTGTCAACTGTGCTTATGTCTGCGTAATGAATTGAAAATTACCTTTACATTTCTATCGCAAAATCTGTAAGGCTTCAGCGCTACGGATTGAATAGAGCCCTTAGTCTTTCAGCAAGTGGCAGTGACACATCAGTGAACACATTTCAGTGTGATTGAGATTTGATCATATTCAATACAATGCCTGTGTATGTTATAGCCCCAGTCAGAGGTTATAGCCCCAATCAGAGGTTATAGCCCCAATCAGAGGTTATAGCCCCAATCAGAGGTTATAGCCCCAGTCAGAGGTTATAGCCCCAATCAGAGGTTATAGCCCCAGTCAGAGGTTATAGCCCCAGTCAGAGGTTATAGCCCCAGTCAGAGGTTATAGCCCCAGTCAGAGGTTATAGCCCCAGTCAGAGGTTATAGCCCCAATCAGAGGTTATAGCCCCAGTCAGAGGTTATAGCCCCAATCAGAGGTTATAGCCCCAGTCAGAGGTTTAGCCCCAGTCAGAGGTTATAGCCCCAATCAGAGGTTATAGCCCCAGTCAGAGGTTATAGCCCCAGTCAGAGGTTATAGCCCCAATCAGAGGTTATAGCCCCAGTCAGAGGTTATAGCCCCAATCAGAGGTTATAGCCCCAGTCAGAGGTTATAGCCCCAGTCAGAGGTTATAGCCCCAATCAGAGGTTATAGCCCCAGTCAGAGGTTATAGCCCCAATCAGAGGTTATAGCCCCAATCAGAGGTTATAGCCCCAGTCAGAGGTTATAGCCCCAGTCAGAGGTTATAGCCCCAATCAGAGGTTATAGCCCCAGTCAGAGGTTATAGCCCCAATCAGAGGTTATAGCCCCAATCAGAGGTTATAGCCCCAGTCAGAGGTTATAGCCCCAATCAGAGGTTATAGCCCCAGTCAGAGGTTATAGCCCCAATCAGAGGTTATAGCCCCAGTCAGAGGTTATAGCCCCCAATCAGAGGTTATAGCCCCAGTCAGAGGTTATAGCCCCAATCAGAGGTTATAGCCCCAATCAGAGGTTATAGCCCCAATCAGAGGTTATAGCCCCAGTCAGAGGTTATAGCCCCAATCAGAGGTTATAGCCCCAGTCAGAGGTTATAGCCCCAATCAGAGGTTATAGCCCCATCAGAGGTTATAGCCCCAGTCAGAGGTTATAGCCCCAATCAGAGGTTATAGCCCCAGTCAGAGGTTATAGCCCCAATCAGAGGTTATAGCCCCAGTCAGAGGTTATAGCCCCAATCAGAGGTTATAGCCCCAGTCAGAGGTTATAGCCCCAATCAGAGGTTATAGCCCCAATCAGAGGTTATAGCCCCAATCAGAGGTTTAGCCCCAGTCAGAGGTTATAGCCCCAATCAGAGGTTATAGCCCAGTCAGAGGTTATAGCCCCAATCAGAGGTTATAGCCCCAGTCAGAGGTTATAGCCCCAGTCAGAGGTTATAGCCCCAGTCAGAGGTTATAGCCCCAATCAGAGGTTATAGCCCCAATCAGAGGTTATAGCCCCAGTCAGAGGTTATAGCCCCAATCAGAGGTTATAGCCCCAATCAGAGGTTATAGCCCCAATCAGAGGTTATAGCCCCAGTCAGAGGTTATAGCCCCAATCAGAGGTTATAGCCCCAGTCAGAGGTTATAGCCCCAATCAGAGGTTATAGCCCCAGTCAGAGGTTATAGCCCTAGAAAACCTCACTGCGATGTAAAAGGAGCTATAAAGTCAGCACAGAACAAGCAGGCAGTATAAGCAACAACTAGGATCCACTAGCTTCACAGATTAAAGACTGTCTGTGAGAATGTTCACACATCTCCGTCACTCTAGATGACAATGTTTCTCATTTACAAGGAAGTGCTGGGTTGTTTTGACACATAGGAAGAATATCTGAAATCTGGATTAAAAATCGGTGTGACAAGGCTTTTGGAGAAATGAAATTCAAATTAGATTGTTGGCTATTAAATGTATTCTTCTGGTGGCCTTTCACTCTGCAGTCTGAGAAGAAGAGTCAGAACTGGACGATGTAAATCACTGTTTATTAGCTCACACAACATAACATCGTTATGAGGCAACAAACAATCTAAATAGCTTTCTTTAAATGTTGAGCCTCAACACTCTGTCCTTGATACTCTGGGATTCTCAATGTCAACCAAGAACATCCAAGTAGTAAAAAGTTGAACATCAGTTTACTTGATGAATGAGCCCTTCAAATGAGGGAAGCCATCTTGATTTAAAAGCCTGCTGTCTTTGGATTTGTCTGAGGCCTAGTGTCCTTTATGATTGCACCCACTTTGAAGTTAATTTGAGAAACAATTTACTTCATACATGAAAGATAGAAATCTTCAAAGGTCTGGGGAGGCTTTTGGGTTGTTTTTTAACCCCCACTAGTTGCTCTAGGCAGGGGAGCTATGTTTGAGGGAGACCCAGTCACTGCTGGTTCAGAGAGGCCTTAACCTTCCTCCTACACTGGGAGAAGACAGACAGCCAGCTCCATAGCTCTCCTTTCTCCACAATGGATGCTTAGCTCTGACATGCTCAATCCCTCTGACTGTGTTGTTCTCAACTCAAATTCAACTGCAATATTTGAACTGCACCATTGTGGACAATGAATATGCTTAAATAGAATGTCACAAAGGTTTTGTAACAAAGTTTTCCATGCTCTCCCATAAGTAAGCAAGCGAGACAGAGATCGATGTATTTATGTTTTAGAAGGATTCAAATGGAATGGGCCAGTACTGCCAGAAAACTGCTCACATTTTTTTTGACAAAAGATTTTAGAGCTGCTAACCTCAAGTGCTGTTTGGTTATCCCTTTATTTATGTATAAGTCAAACGTTTCTGTCCAACACTTCTTAAATAAAACCTATAGCTGGATGTAATTTCAGTCACAAGACAATAATTTACAGAAAACACAGGCCTAAATTACAGTGTGCCATGCTGGCATAGAAGGGAAAGCTGAAAGCCTACAAATGGCTGTTGAGGCGTGTGAAACAAGAAGTCGTACAAAGACTATCTCTCTCTGATGGTACCAACTTCAGATGAGAAACAGACGTTTCACATCGAGGCAGGTCATTTAGTCATCAGAGGCCTCTGCATAACACATGTCATCAATTAATACCACACACTAGATAAAACGTGTTACTCCTCACAGCATCAGTCAGTAAGACAACTCCACTGATAAGCACTTCATTTGGCCGGAATTAGGAAAAATGCTGTTTCTTTTATAATCTAGTTTTAGGACGACTGAAGCAGAATTATAGATGTTCGTTTTACAGACACTCAACAGGCCCCGGCCTTTTTATTCCACGGAAGATACATGTTTATCTGTGTTATGAGAACCGTGATTCTCCATCCAGCACCACAGTGACGTGGCCAAGCTGGAAACATAAACTGGGCCTGCATCCCAAATGGCACCCTATTATCTACAGAGTGCCCCATGGGCCCTGGTTAACAGTAGCACACTAAATAGGGAATAGGGTGTCATTTGGGATGCAGACATGACATCATTCAGATCTTTAGTACTCCTAATGACGTATTACATCATGTGTATGTATAGTATACTGTAGTACTGCACACCTGATGGAAACCAACTGCCTAATCCTCCCCTTAAAGTAGCACCACCTCTGCATAGGTCTTGTGTGACACATGCGTAATAAATCTGCACTTGGTGAGTACTGTATTTTCTTTTAGATGTAACTCTAGGAACATGGATGGCCATTAGATAACATATTTATCAAGGAGCTGGAGATTATCACTTCTGTCTGTGTGTCTATAGTGATGAGGACTCCTAATGCCGTGCCCATTTCATTAAAAACAACCTACTGCCGTTTCACTCCATCCAATATCTTCTCTCTCTCCCTTCCTTTGCCAAGATGCTCGTCATTATTTTTTTGCTGCACTTTAAATTGAATCATCACTTTAGTTGCCCAGAACCAACCGCCTGCCTTTTTTTCTCTTCTTTACAGTTGGTCCTGGAAAGTGGCCTCTAAGAAATGTATGACACAGCTCCTTTGATTTGGAGGTCTAATCAGAGATTTTTAATATATTCTCTGATATGAGATTGTATCGTAGCCATATGAAAACGAGTCAATTTGCATCAAGGAAAAAAAGCTTTCCTTTTGAACGTTCATTTATCTAATATATATTTTTCATTTCAACTGCCAAGGTTTAATCTTTGAATTCATTGTAGGAACCATAAGCTCATTTTTGCAAAGTGTAAGGCTGGATTTAAACTGCTAACATTTCCTGACAGTAGGCTTCAGTACTGCTGCAAATAGGACACATTGGAGAGGACAAATGCTTCCTTATTATTTGTGCTTCATTCGTCAATTAATTTAACCATTTGATTTTCAGCTAAGTCATTGATCACTCATATATTTTAAATAATTTAATCCTTGTCTTTGCAGGGGTTATTCGTGAGAGTTACCAGAAGGGGCGTGATCAGCTGGTCCCTGTCACACTGCTGGCCATCGCTGTCATCTTGGCCTTCGCCATGGGCGCCATCTTCTCCGGTATCCTCGTCTACTGTGTGTGTGACCACCGGCGGCGAGATGTTGAGCTGACCAGGCGTAAGGACAAGGACAACGTCCACGATAGGAGGGGATCCATGAACAGCGTGACCAAGCTGACGGGTCTGTTTGAGACCGGGGTCAAGGACGGTCACCCAGAGGCCATCCTCACCCCGCTCATGCACAACGGCCGCCTCACCAACGGCAAGATGCTGATCAAAGCCGACCAGCACCACCTGGAACTGGCCGGCATGCCCACTCCAGAGTCCACCCCCATGCAGCCTCGGCGCAAGCCCAGCCGGGGAAGCCGCGAGTGGGAGAGGAACCAGAATCTGATCAACGCCTGCACCAAGGACCTGCCGCCCATGGGCTCCCCAGTCATCTCCACTGACCTGGCCCTGAGGGCATCCCCGGGCCACATCCCCAGTGTGGTGGTGCTGCCCCTGCCCCAGCCCCAGCACCAGCACCAGAAGGCCTACCAGCATGAGTACGTGGAGCAGCCCCACCGCAGCGACCTCAGTCAGTTGAGCCTGGACGACCAGGGGGCCACGCTGGAGTACAAGGCCCTGAAGAGCCCCTGCCACAGCCTTAACCTGGTGGAGAGCGATGGTCTGCCGCCTCGAGTGCCCCAGAGGGAGGCCTCCCTCACCATCCCACCCGCCGTGCCGCAGATGGGCAAGCGGCTGGAGGTGCACTCCTCTGTCTATGGCCACGAGTTCAAGCGAGGCTACCCGATGGGTGCCCAGAAAGGCTCTGCCCTCAAAAAGCACAACACCAACTCGTCCAACTCCTCCCACATGTCCAGAAACCACAGTTTTACCGCGTGGAGATGCCGCCCCCCGCCCCACAGAGGGTGGACTCCATGCACATGACTTCCCAGGGGATGTCCCTCTCCCGACAACCCAGCATGAGCTCTTACGGTTCGTTGCCCCGGACCGGGGTCAAACACCTCAAGCCCGACGTCCCGCCTAAACCCTCTTTAGTGTCCCTCTCGACGAAAGTCAAGTCCAATGACTCCTGCACATAATCAGCACGCTCAGAATACAAAACAGGGAACACAATTGCATCTCCCTTTGTCTTTGGTCTGTGTACAGCAAATGCAACACACTTTTAAAAGATTTTTCTTTTATATATATATATGTAAATATTCTACAAATGGTTGTTGTTGTTGTTGTTGTTGTTGTTGTTGAGCTCAGGCTGTTGACTCCCAGTTCCTCAGAAACACAGAACACTTGCTACTGAGAAGAAAATGACTTTCATGAACATTTCATTGATGAGCAACATGTCACCGCTGTAGCATTCAAGACGGTGGTTGTGTTGGACATTTGAACACCATGACTTGACTGATGTTTTGTTTTCTTAACCGACTGCCAAAAGCAGACAGTGGGAGAAAAGTGGATCAATTGTATAGTGAGGACTGGAGGGTTCTCCCAGCAAGCACTTGGGCACAGTGAGCTCCGACTGGAACGACAGCTTGAGTTTACGTGGAAAACTGTGAAACACCTCTCAGTGTTACGGCTACTGGACACAGCAATCAAGTTTTGCCTTGGTTAAAAAAGCCTTGGTCTGAGAATCTTCTGCACTGGTTACTGAATAACACATGACTGTTAATACTAATAGCTTGTTGTATTTATTTTTAATAAGTGCTTTTGAAAAGACTGACTTTTTAGGCTCAGAGAGAAAATCTTTTAATATGAATTAATCAAGTGTGGAATTATTTTAAGTCATTCAACTGGAGCCAGTACCACTTTCTTGACACAAAAGGTCCACTAGGTCCTTGGGTTTTGAAGCTTGAGTTATATGTGACCTCTGTATGAGGAGGATATATTTATTGAACTGTGCTAGATGGAACCTACACGTTGGAGCAGAACCTCCCATGTTAAAGCAGTCAGAAAAATACAAAATACAGAACTCTTGGAACTCACTCCCTAGATCACTCCTCCATGGCATCCATCTACGTACGTTCTGCACTGTGGCTTTGCAGTCAGTAACCTCTCTCTCTCCCGGGTTGGCTACTGGCTCACTGCGTGCCAACAAGCCTCACTTTTGCATGTAAAGTGCAAAGGGGGAAAAAAAAAGTGGAAGTCCACACATGAAAAAGAGAAGTGTGTGGAGAGTGGCCATTTTGGCAGGTTCTGACACTTCTCGTTTTCTCTAGCAGGCCTCTGATTGGATTACATCTGTTGATAGCCTGCTTCTCTTCCACATGTACATTTGTGCCTTACACCCTGAGTAGTGACAATTTCTTTAGCTGTTAACTATGTTTCTTTGTAGTATTTTCTAATGTCGTCTTTTCCCTGGTTTGATAAAGGCAAATAAAGAATGTAGGTGTACTTGTTGTAATTCTGGTCCCTAGAAATATACTGGGGGAGGAGACCCCACATTCTTCTTTGTGGTTAATTTCTGATTGTGCCAATGATGCGCTTAAAGCAACCCTTTTGTTGTGCTGCCAGTGTCGACGATGTTGTGTGTGTGTGGTGTTTTTTCTCTCCATACAATAAGTCCTGGTATTGTCTTTTATTTTGCTGTTTGATTGGAGTGATTCATGTTTGTTCTTGAGAGGGCCTCTTTGGGTCTTGCTGGTGCACAGCAATAATCTAACACTAACGAATGAGAAACACAGCAACATACTGTGCTGACATGGCACCAGGTTCCTAGTGTACACTAGACAGTGAAAAGCAGGCTGGTTCCTGCGATAGAGAAGAGTTTCATAACTATTAGGAGATGTATTTAACCTGTTTTTTAAAAACACATGTTCCAGGAGGATTCAAGTAATTTAATTTGTACTAACTCCCTTTATCAAGGTGAATGAGAGTTTAACTGAACAATCTAATGTTTGACACTTTTTTTTATTTTGCTTGATATACATTTTTATTGACCACGTCTCCCCAAATGAACAGAGCACTCCCTTGGTATATTGTGTAGATAGGGGAGTTTCTTGATCTCGAGCACATTTCCATTTACAATGGAGAAAAGCCAACTATTTATCATCCACAGCCAATGCAGGAAGAACGCGTAGGACATTCCCACATCTGAGGCATATATAGTATGTGTTAATTGAACTGACATGTACAGAGATGCATGTAGGGTTCGATTGCAATGAGTGCATCATCATGAGATTAGACTTAAGAAAGGGGAGGTCATATGAACCCCTATAGTGCAGACTGCATATCTGGCCACGGTATCCATGGCTACTAGGGCCAGTGAGTCTCTGTGATGTGTTCCTTTGTATTTCACCCTTGCTATATATATATATATATATACACACACTGATAGATGCAACAGAGACACTCTCTCAACTCGTTTTGAACTGTAAGATATTGTGATGTCACAAGGTTTTTTTTCCTTACTCCACTTCCTTAACATCTGATTCACAGCGTAATGTATGTTGTCGAGAAAATTATCTTTAATAAATGCAAAATGTAATAAAAAAAAATACATTCATGTCATGAAGACGGTTGTGTTTCCTTGATCCTGTATCTTATTTAGGCTAACAGTAGGCCTTCAAGATGGAGCACTTTAAAACAACTTTTCTGTTGTTCCAAGATCTTTTGGTGAATTGTTGGCGGTATTTCAGCATGAATAAACAACAAGCTGATAAGCATCAGTCTGGAACCGTTTACAGGTCGGAGTCCTTCCTCGTCCGTTACGATATGTGTGGAGATTAGGTTACAAAGATGTGATTCTAATGTTAATGGTCCTTGTCCTCTCACAATCGCGTATTGTTTGTTCACCTTTGTAGTACTTTTGAGTCACATTTTCACAGCTCCTATAATAACACAGGCAGTGTTAGAGGGAAGAATAAGTACACAATCATGATATAGCTAGTTTTACATTGACCACTGACTAAGCTCATTTCCGCAGTAGGTTAAAAAAGAGACAGGAAAAGCTCAATTACGTCACAAGTTCGCAGCCAACAGTATCTTGTGTATGTACTACATGTCTTTGTTAAACCACTTAAGCAGATACATGTTGGTTCAGGGACAACAAAGCTTTCTGGGAAACAGACACGGTGTGAGAGAGAAGAGAGAGAGAGAGGACGACATGAGAGAGAGAGGAGAGGAGACGAGATGACGAGAGAGAGAGGAGAGAGATGAGAGAGAGAGAGAGAGAGAGACGAGGATAGAGAGAGAAGAGAGATAGGAGAATGAGATCTGACGTAGAGAGCATGACCCCGAAGAGACTGAGAAGAGATGAGAGAGAGAGGAGAGAGAATAGAGAGAGAAGATGAGAGGAGAGAGGAGAGAGATAGAGATAGAGATAGAGATAGAGATGGGAGAGAGAGAGATAGAGAGAGAGAGAGAGAGAGAGAGAGAGAGAGTTGTCAGTATTAGTGGGACCTCATAAACAACACAAAGTGCTCACAGCCCCATTGCTGGATACAAGACAATGTATCCAAATATAATGTAAGATAATGTACAGTTTATTCATCTGATAATGGACAACCAAAAATAGGCACAGTAATGACATTCGCCACGTGTTATAAAAAAATCAATGGGAATCCTGTTTGGATAGTGATCTACAGTAACATAGCAACGGGACTACTGGAAAGCTCCAGTGTCTACCATTAAACATACCAGCACAGCTAGACTCTCTCTAATCCCTACTGGCAAGGCTCTTTGCTCATTTTGAGTGCTGATGCCCCACAATCTGTGGTCACAACAAGCTTAGTGGAGTAATCCTTCACCCCTCATCCAGCTACCAGTTCCCACTACTGATACATGTCATATTATGACCCACATCCTCTTACTATATGTGACACTCCCTGCCACTGGTCCACCGTTTCAGCCAAAATACTGTACAGTACAAGAAGGTCTCTCTGACTGTCCCTCTAAATTAGTTCATCGGGTCATTAACAACCAATGACCCCTTTGATGGTCGTGACCATTGGTTTGTTGTGGTTTATGTATCATCTTGGTATTCTGTGTCTATTTCACAGCGAGTCTGCGCTTCACAGGATGTGTCCCAATTGGCACCCTATAGTGAACTACTTTTGACCAGAGCCCTATGGGCTTCCCTAGGGACCCTGGTGGTGCACTATATAGGGAATAAGGTGACAATCTGCTGTCTGCTGTGGTCAGTAATCAAAAGCAAGCTGGATGGAGGACAAATGTTCATCCTACTTAACATTCTAATGTTCATCCTACTTAACATTCTAATGTTCATCCTACTTAACGTTCTCCTGGGTGATAAACACATTGACGCTACAATGTGCAATAAGGACTGCAGCACAGCAGCTCTCTTCCCTGGTAGGACCATTAATCCTGGACTCAGTAAAGCGCAATAACAAGGGGAAAATACAGTACATGCTGCTCAATCGAAATGGGTCCTACTGAATTGGATTCGTACTACAGTCAGACAATGTATGATGAATCCTGTCAAATGGTGTTAAAGTTAACTTTTTTTTGTACATTGTCATGTATCTGACAGATTCGTTTTTAAACGTCCAACAGTTTTTTTCTTGGATCTTGCTTCTCTGTATCCTTTAATGTTCAGCAAAGTCCTGGCTGGTAAGGGTATCTCAATAGCCCTGAACGTTCCTGGCTGGTAAGGGTATCTCAATAGCCCTGAACGTTCCTGGCTGGTAAGGGTATCTCAATAGCCCTGAACGTTCCTGGCTGGTAAGGGTATCTCAATAGCCCTGAACGTTCCTGGCTGGTAAGGGTATCTCAATAGCCCTGAACGTTCCTGGCTGGTAAGGGTATCTCAATAGCCCTGAACGTTCCTGGCTGGTAAGGGTATCTCAATAGCCCTGAACGTTCCTGGCTGGTAAGGGTATCTCAATAGCCCTGAACGTTCCTGGCTGGTAAGGGTATCTCAATAGCCCTGAACGTTACTGGCTGGTAAGGGTATCTCAATAGCCCTGAACGTT